TATTGTTCTCCCTCACCTCCACCCCAACCCTGCAAAAAAAAAAAAAACCATATTGTTCCCATACCAAGGTCTTTTGTTACACATGAAACCCAGTTGTCACCTGCCTGAATTTCTTTAGGTAAGGTTGTTGATTAAAGTATAATTTAAGGAGCCAGAGCAATAGTACAGTGGTAAGGCATTGCCTTGCATACAACCCAGGTTCAATCCCCAGCATTGATTATGGTCCCCTAAGCACTGCCAGAAGTGATTCCTGAGTGCAGAGCCAAGATAAACCCTAAGCATCACCGGGTGTAACCCCAAAAGAAAAGAAATATATATACACATATATATACACGCATGTATATGTCTCTCTCTATATATATATATAATTTGTAGCATTTCACTGTAGCACTGTCCTCCTTTTGTTTATCTATTTGCTCGAGCAGGCAACAATAATGTATCACAACAAATTGTGAGATTTGTTGTTACTGTATTTGGCATATCAAATACCTTGTGGGGAGCTTGCCAGGCTTTGCCGGGCTCTCCGAGAGGGGTGGAGGAATCGAGCCCAGGTCGGCCATGTCAGCCATGTGCAAGGCAAATGCCTTACCCGCTGTGCTATTGCTCCAGCCCATATAATTTATATAATATATATAATATAATATATATAATATATAATAGAATTCATAAAAAGTATGAATTAAACCATTTAATCTAAATACATATTTTTTCTCATACCCATATTACAAGGGCTGGAGTGATACCACAGCAGGTAGGGCATTTGCCTTGCACATGACTGGCATGGTCGACCCGAACTCTATTCCTCCACCCCTCTTGGAGAGCACGGCAAGCTACCGAGAGTATCCCACTCACACAGCAGAGACTTGCAAGCTCCATGTGGTGTATTCTATATACCAAAAACAGTAACAACAAGTCTCACAGCGAGACATTACTGGTGCCCGCTCAAACAAATCGATGAACAGTGGGAGGACAGTGCTCTCTCTCTCTCTCTCTCTCTCTCTCTCTCTCTCTCTCTCTCTCTCTCCTCTCTCTCTCTTTATATATATATAATTTAAATGGAATCATATCATAATCTTGAAACAGAGTCTATAGGGTCCCTCCAGTATTCTGAGCAGTTCTGAGTGAAGCTTATGGCTCTCCCAAACTCCCTTGATTTTATACTTTTCCAACCATGATTTTGTACAGGAATAAAGAAACTGAGATACCCCATTCAGCCCACAAGTTCAATGATACAAGTGAAGATAGTTCAGTAACCAGAAGGGCTACTCAGAAGGTAGTAATTTTACAAAATTAGAAACTGACATAAGAAATTGTGAACTGTTCCAAGGGTAAACTGGGCTGAAAAATTAACTAAAGGTAATGAAACATCATCCACTTGTCTAATGTAGCCGAAAACAGAGGAAAGGATGGAATCAGGACAAGATTTTGCAATAAATTAGAATAATAAGTAAAAAAGAATTTACCCATGAAAATTTAAAAAGAAACAGCAGAAGTTAGTCACTTGACTGCTAGAGTCCCAAAGAGTAGTCAACACCAAATGTGAGGAGGGTGGCTGGCGTCCCTAAGAGGTAGATTAGCCGGTAATTACAAGCAGCACACTTTCCTCGCCCTTTTTCAGAAGGCAGAGTCACATGGCCTTTGTCTCATTTTCTGGTTCCTGCCAGATCTGTTCTTGAAGCAATAGCTTCCAGCATGTTAATCAACTGCTTCCACAGCCCTGTTTGCTCATACTGTTCAGCCTGCTCATTTCTTACACTACATTCAGTTTTTCCAAGAATTTGTTCCCAGCCTTATTTCAGAAACTATTCCTCACATGAGAGTCATAGTTTCCTAACTCCCACATTACTTGGATGAACTGCACATTTTACTCAGTTAGGCCAAAGGAAATTCTGGTTGATGAGGCTTCTTTCTTCTCTTTCGTTTCTCTCAGTTTGCTCTTTCTTTCTTTCTTTCTTTCTTTCTTTCTTTCTTTCTTTCTTTCTTTCTTTCTTTCTTTCTTTCCTTCCTTCCTTCCTTCCTTCCTTCCTTCCTTCCTTCCTTCCTTCTTTTTGACTTTGGGGTAAAATAGAGTTCATTTACTCTATACCACTAGAAATCTCGTTTGGATAAGGTTGATCAGAACATTCAAGTAATATCTGTTCACCTTAAAGGGAAAGTTAGATTAGGAACATTGAAAATATGAAGGTATCTGACTCTCACTGTCCTCCCCACAAGAGTGTGTCTGTTTTCTGTACTGTCATTTTATAAAACTTATTTTAAAAAAAAATTTAAAGGTGTCTGAGGTTAGCAAAAGAGGTAGTGGGGACAGGGTTGAAAGGGTGCTGAGACTGATAGACGGATATAGGTACTTTAGTGGTGGATATAATATAGTTACTCTGTACCTCTACATCATACAAACATTCAGTCATATAAATCAGCATTACCTATATAAAATTTATGTAGTAATTATAAGATGGCTATTAGATGGCATATAATCAAGGGATGTGGAAGACACATCTAGCTCCACCTATTTCCCATCTATCACATGAGTTGCACATTTAGCTCCATATCATGTTTCAAAATCTGTCTGACCCCCAATCCTTATGAGTGTTAGTGCACAAGGTAGATTATGCAGGGACAAGGGGATAAATCACAGCTGGACAGGAGTGGACTAAAGATGGGCCCTATAGTACTAAATTGCCTGAGATACAGAACACGGCAAGACTGGCTGCCGACTGGACCAGGGGTGCTGTGGGGTCAATGTTCTTCTAGTTAAATGAGGTGACCCCATGTTGATCAGTTGTACAGATGTAGCCACCTACCTTGTGGGGTGCTGAAGAAATAGGGGTGTAGAAGAAGGAGTGGGTGGGAAAATTTCTTTCCCCGTTCTCTGAAATAATGGACCAGCATAGGAAAGCTGCTCAGAGAAACAGAGAAATCACAAAGGGAACTTTAGGAGCAATGAGACTCAGGTAATTCCGTTTTCTTCTCAGGAGCTGCTGGTTACTAATAACATTTTAGAGGTTCATTAATACATTTTTTGTTACAGTTTTGAACCATAATGGTATACTATTATTTGGGGATCTGCTTTCAAAGACTGCTCTATTAAAAAAAAAAACTTAGGCAAACATTTTATTTATTTATTTATTTATTTATTTTATAAAGTAGTTCACAATATTTGATTATATTTAATATTTGAACACCAATTTCACCACCATTACACCTTCCCACCACTGTATTTCAGATGTTTCCATCCCAAACCCCAACCTCTGCCCTAAAGCAGGACCGAAATAATTTATTTTGTACTGTTTGTTATGAAAAACTGCTGAAAATGCTCCAAAAAAGTTTCCTTGGAGGAAATAGTGTGAAGATTGTTGTATTTCATCCAGGGGCATTAAGACTTTCTATAAGAGATCACTACCATGTTATTAAAGGTTGATTAGATAAAAAATTTTAAGCAGGAGACAAACGAAGTCAGGTATTGGGAAGTGTAGATGTGGGAAAATCAAACTTATACCATAACAGTCTGTACAAAATAAGCTTGCTCCCAGAGTAGTTCAAAAGAGAATCCAGAATTATTCTCATTTTACAGCCTGAAGTTGAATTGTGATGACATTTTGCGAAGTAAAAATAAAGCAGTGAAGCTTGTATGAGTTGTCCCATCATTATCTGAGTTTATCTAAACATCTTTAGAGCAGTCTATGTTACTGAATCTTGTGATTCACATGAAAAGAAAAAGAAAATAACAAAAGCCAAGATACATAAAAATTAATAGCCAGCATAACCACTATTTTTAGTGCAGAAATATATTCAAAAACAGGTCACTAATGTCCGTCTGTTTTATTTAATCATATGTCTGTTACCTAAAGCACAGAGGTTTACAGATGACATGTAGATAAGTGTAGAGAGAAGAACTCAAGCCTCATACTGTTGAAATTAAATTCTAAAATTCAGGAAATTCATCATCCTGACATTTCTTTGCAGATGCAGAATGTGTGTTGAAATAGCTCTTGATATGTATCTTGTTTACATGAGGAATACATTTAGCAGATCATGTTAATTAGAAAAATACCCAAGTCAGGTCTTTAATAATGTATCTTTTATTAAATATAAAATGGAAGCACTGTTTTCACATACTCAAGAACAAGTGATGCCCTTGATTCCCTATATTTTAGGTTTTGCAGTTTCTTCCTCGAACTTAAAATGGAAACATTGGGAAAATATTTTAATGATTCATTATGATTAAAGTCATACAGTCTTATAAGTTGTGGGAGATATGTCCTTTATGTGACTACCTCAAAAGAAACTTTGGATATTGATACCTTGTTTGAAAGCTCTCCATTTTAAGATATTTTCTTGTAAAATGTGTAAATAACAAGGGCAATTTATGACCTATGAGTATAAATTTCCAGCTCAATCTCTAGAACTGTTTTCCGTGGAATTTTAGTACTATCAAATTCTTAATGTGGGACCTCATTATTCCAAATAAAGTTCAGTGACAATACATGCAGTTGTGCAGCATAGCTTCTGAATATAAACATTATTTTCAGAGAATTAATGCTTCTTGTGAAAGGGGGAGGTAATATACCTTAAGAATAACATGACTACCCTTCATTTTAAACAAAAGAAAAAAATCAAGAGTATGGAACTAACAACTTTGACCATCAAGATTCTTTCCATTTATTAATGATACCTTCTCACGTATAGTTTTCAATGAGTCTTTGGTCTCATTAAGCAAAGAAGATAGAACTGGGAAAGTTGCACAAATTCATTTGACTGTAACTTTTTACGAAGTTTTATGAGTATCTTAAGTAATACATGTTCTGTGAAGCTTATTGTTTAAAGAAGTGCATTAGATTGTAGCCTTTGTTCAAACAAAGCTTTCATTTGGCAAACCAAAAATTCTCTTTTGCCAACACTTCTGTACAGGAAGAGCTTATCTAAGTATTGGCGTAATTAACTCAGTTTGGAATTGCTAGTGTTGAAGTCTTCTAAGTTATATTTTATCTTCTCTCTTTCAGGTGCTTCATCCCAAACATCTATGCAGCCCTCTTCACTGCAGCCCTGCTTCCTTTAATGTGCCTGGTGGTAGTGTTCGTGGTATTCATCCATGCCTATCAGGTGAAACCACAGTGGAAAGCATATGATGACGTCTTCAGGGGAAGAACAAATGCCACAGGTTTGGAAGAAACTGTATTTTCCCTGTATGGATGGGAACATTTTAGTGATAAGGGAATGTCACTAAATCTGTTTTATCCCCTGCGCCCCAAAGGAGTGAAGTTAGATTTCAGCTTTCAGTTTGAAGCCATAAATTAAGCTACAGATCTCCAGTTTTTCCTGCTTCATGTTACTTCCTGGATTCTCTCTTTCTTCAGGGCTCCATAAGTTTTATTGCTGGCTCGAGTTTTGTCCTTAAGATATTAGTTTTCAAGTAATGACTCACAGTCATCGGGAGCTGCTTTCCCAAGCTTTCTTCAACTAAAGTAGTAACAACCTGGGTCCAACCTGTGCAATCTGTTCATTTTGTTCACTTTCTGAAACTCCATCACAAACAACCCTCCATAATGCTCGTAAATGCCCTTTTTCCATGTGGAGTTCTGATTGTGCTGACAGATGTTTTAAAACATATGTGATCAGACAGCTTCATAAGTGACTGCACATGTCTGGTTACTTAACAGTGCAAGTCTTTCCAGCTTAAATTGGCTTTCACTGTAGCTCATTTTTTCCCTTTGAATCATACTTAGCACAGGTTTTTATGATCTGAATCTTTTTTTGTTATTAGATTAGAGTCTCTTAGGAATTTTCTTTACTAGGAACAATTGCCATCTACCTTCGTACAATTTTTTTTTTCTCTAAAAGTGTCTGAGTGCTAGAATATAAGGGAAAATCATATGGGAGGGCACTCCCTCTTCTTCCAATAAAAAAGAGAAGCCTCAGTTTTAGATTTAACAAATATAAAACCACATGGATATCAGTGATTCTTCCCATTTTAATTATTTTTCACATTTTAAGCAAGATACCATTTATAAAGTCCCAGAATAAATAGTGCACTAGGAACTCTGTAGGTATTGTTTTAAAGGATAATAAAAGCCATCTCTCTAACGTAAGCAGAGTCATAGTTCCTGAACTGGATCAGGGAAGATACAAAACTAAGTTTTATCTTCTTGGTGCAAAGAAAGGGGCTGTTTTTTATTAGTTGTAGAATATTTTGTAGCATAGTAGTTTCTAGCCAGCTCTTCTCTCTTATTTAGCATGCAATCTTTGTGCAAACACACAAAAATTCTTTAAGGTTACTATTAGCACTTCAATCGAAAAGCAATCTATAGTGTAGAAAATCTAATTTTTCTTGGGACAGAGAATTCATCCAGAAAGTGTTTTTATTCAACTTGGTTAAGCATCTTACTAGAATGCAGATTCTCTTTTGAAGGGAAGTGTTGTTTGTTTCTTTTCTGGATGACATGCTACATGGTTTGTTTCCTGTGAAACATGAAAGTTTCAGTGTTTGCATGTTCTCATGCATGTAACATAAAGTTCTAACCTAATGAGTTTCCTTTGCATACATAAAGTATGCCTTTAGAATATGATCCCTCATGCATCTGGTGAATACATAATACTGTTACTTCTAACATTTACATCTCAACTAGAGAAATCTCTCTTCCAATGAAATACTACCATTAATAAATCACTCCTATATTTAGTTTTTCAAACTGAAAAAATATAAATTTCTAATTTTCCTATTCCTATGACAGGATAGTCATTATACTAGCCATTATCTCATACTTGGATTGTTACTGTATTTTCCTAACAGTCACAGATTCTAGACATTTTTTTCAGTCACTCTCTGATTGTATGAAGTTCAGTCTCTAGCCTATGATATAAGATTCTCCACAGTTAGCCCATCAGTCATGTTTCCATCCCAAAGGTTTTTACTATTCTGCATATGGACATGTCACATTTACGTGCTAAAATTACCTGATTCTATTATCTTGTCTCATATATATAACCTGCTCTTTTTGACCTCATTGTTATTTGTTTGAACAAACACATGTTCTTCTTAAGGGATGTAGGAAAATGAGGAGGAAACCAATGTTAAAGTTGCTTATGACCTTCTCATAATTCTCATTAGCTACTGCAAAGTGGAAAAAAAAGTCACTGACATATTTTTTTGTTTGGGGGCTACATCCAGCTGTGCTCAGGCTAACTTCTGTGCTCAGGGCTCTGCAAACACTTTTGGTGTAGCTCAAGGGACAATGGGTCGTGCTGCAGGCAGAACATAAGTCACCTGCATGCAAGGTCAGTGTCTTACCCACTGTGCTATCTTTCCAGCCCTAATATATAATTTAATAAAAATACAATTAAGTTATGTGTGCCGTATAAACAGAACTGGATTAGCCTAGATCCCACTCTCAACTCATTCCTTTTCATATAAATTCTGGAAGCTTCAGTGGGATGCAATATGTGCCTCCCACTGAAGACTTTGGAATTGCTTCTTTATGAAAATGCCAAATAAGAGCTATTCTGCCTTTGCCTGTGCCTCTAAATTATATTTGCCCATAGCCTTTGTAACACTTACAATGGAACAGTGACTTGTTTTGGTATGTGTCGTCCATTTCCTTAATAAATTGTAGATTCATTGAGGAAAAGGAACACTTATTATTCATCTCTTTGTCACCAGGGCCTTGCAATGGAATTGAAAAAGCATAATTAATATTTGTTGAATAAATGATTCACTAATAGCTATGAGTGCAACATAAAATTTCCTACCAGTGAATAGCCATGTAAATTATAGCTTTAAGAAGAAAAGTCTGTTACTTTATCATGAATTAAAATTAAAGGATTTGTTGATTTATTTGTGGCTAGCCTTTGAAAATTACTAACAGGACTATTTTCCCCTTGAATTTCATGATTCCCAAAATCATGTCAGTTTTCACCTCTGACTTGATCTTTTATTTATTTATTTATTTATTTATTGCCATTCATTGTAACTCTTACACTTGAATGAATATGATCCACTGAGCTTAAATCCAAATTTTCTAGAATTAAAATTCTATTTACTAAGCCAAGTAGTTTTTATTTCTCTGAATGTTACTGCCAAACTTTCATTACATTGGTCTGAAAAAAATATATACAATAAAGATGACATTGTAAGTTTATTTATTTTCCACTTTCCTACCCCAGGTATGTATAACTGTTAAAGAAACAATGTAATAGGGGGATGTTATAAAAAGAGGTGAATATCTTTGTGGATCAGAAATAGAGCAGAAATACAATGTGGTCAGCTGGACCAAAGCCACAGACCTGAGGTTTTCTGGTTCATAAGCAGTAGATGGATGCAGGAGTTTCCTTACTCCTGAACTGGTGAATAGGGGCGTAAAAGATCTTCCAGAACAAGAGTGTAGCAATATCATCTGAAAAAACAAAACCCAAAAGTACATGCCATTATGATCAGTTGAGTGATAGCATAGCGGTAGGGCGTTTGCCTTGCACACGGCTGACCTGGCAGACCCGAGTTCGATTCCTCCACCCCTCTCAGAGGGCCCAGCAAGCTACCGAGAGTATCTCGCCCACACAGCAAAACCTGGCAAGCTACCCGTGAGGTATTCGATATGCAAACACAGTAACAACAAGTCTCACAATTACGTTACTGGGCCCGCTGGAGCAAATCGATGAACAACGGGAGGACAGTGCTACAGAACACTGATTTATAGGAACCTGAGAGCCCAGGGAAAGTGCAGACAAAGCATTTCATTAAGCCAAGTTTCTGCAATGCACAGACTGTATCGGTGATAGCTGCATGTCCCCATAGGGTAAACAGACCCAAGGTATCAAAACTACATGTTGCAGAAAGATTGGGTAGAGCAATAACAAACATTAGATTAAAAAGGGAGTTGGGGGGAGGCAGTCAGACAGATGCAAAGAAATAAGGACGTGAAAGGAAAGTCCTCATTATAGAGGGCTTTATTCAGAAAAAAAGGGGGCAGGCTTCCGCTGGAAACGAAGTTCAGTGGGAAGGGTACGTTCCCCTCCAGGAGTGATTTCCTGAACTCAGAGCCAGGAGGTAGCCCTGAGCACCACCAGTTATGGACCCCAAACAAAACAAACTAACAAAAAAATTTTAAAAAGAAAAACAGGGGGCTGGAAAGATAGTTCAGTCAGTAGGGCATTGCCCTGTAATGCGGCCAACCCTGGTCTCAATCTCAGGCACCCAGATAGTCTCTGGAACGACTCCTGCGTGCAGAGCCAGTTGTAAGCCCTGAGCAACACTGGGCATAGCTGTCCCTGAACATTTTTTTTCCGCTATTTTCTCTTTACTTCCTGTTTCCTTTATTGGTACACGTCAAAGCTCTGACACTTGGTTGTGGCTCGTTGGAGTGCTCCATTTATTCTTAGGATCCAGGGTACAGGTTCTGGGATCACAGTGGAGTGGGGATCTCATTCAGAGATACGGGACAGTGCTGAGGGTTGAGCCCTTGATCTCATGCTCTGCCACTGAGCCTTGTCTCTGAGTGCTGATCCAGGACAGAGGGTGGCAGAACACATTCAAAGAGAATAAAGAGTAAGTAACTTTGAATAAGTATGTTAGGATGCTTGAAAATATAAAACTGCTGTCATTAAATGATGAATGACACTATAGGCCACTACCCTGCTGTTTTCTCCATTTTATCTACTTATTTTTACCAGTTCCACCAAGATATCATTTGCAGACCCTCAAGCACACCTGTAGTATAGTGCCATGGTCTTTAGTATATTTGTGTTGTACAACCTAAACCCAGTCTCATGTTAGAAGGTTAGATTCTTCATGATCACGAAGGGAATCCTCATATGCACTAACAGTCACCACTCTCTCTCTCTCCTCAGCCCTCAGCAGGCAACCACTTAGCAATTCCCTGGAGCCAGAGAATTTTCTCTTGGGGCACATTGCAGAAAGCAGGATTATAGGGGAGTGGTTTTACACCTGTAGACTGGCACTGGTCTTCAGACCTGTTGAAAACCACTCTCCAAGAATATGTGATGTTTGCATGTGGGACTTCTTTCACATAGCTTCGTATTTTCAAAGTCGATCCAGGCTGTTGCATATGTCAGTACCTCGTATTTTCAAAGTCGATCCATGCTGTTGCGTATGTCAGTACTTAGTTCATTTTCATTGCTAAACAATATTTCATGGTATGAATAAATGCA